CTGCGCTATGATATGTGGTAATAAGCATCATAAATGAAAAGTAAGAAAAAAGATGAACGAGATCATTCTTACCACCAAATAACTATAGAAACAGTGTGTTAATGATAAACCAGTGGAAATGAGATTACTTTGTATGGTGAAACCAAATTAAGGAGCCTATGAGTGAGGGCCAGTGACGAGTGTGATACGATTCGCCAGGTCTGAATCGACTGCCTAGAAAGAATAGACACAAACGTACGCTTACAGGCTCATTGTATTTCTGCGTTCTCTGGTGAAAAGTAACTCAGTTTTTTGTTCACAAGTATACAAAATGTGTTCCTAGATTTTCCGTAGCGAAGTTTCACTCACTACTGTGATCTCAGCATTCTTTGCGATTTACTGGCAAAAGATCCCTTGTCCTCTGTCCTCTTGGTTTCCTAAAACCATGAGCAAAAAAAACTAAACTATATTATATATCATGGTGTATACTGACAGGATTTACATGGCAATCATTGACTTTAATAACTGTTAGATACAAAGTTGACGAACAATAATAATTAAGGATTCTGACCTATTATTGGTATGAATGATAAATTATAACGACATCATAGAATAATCCTAATATCACGTTAAACATAAGTATATATTATCTTACTGACACCCATCATTCTCCGTCTAAATGTGCGCTTCTCGATGATGAGCGAGTGGATATATAGGCATGAATATTCACATGAATGCTTAACCACCGCGTAGGTGGGTATAGCTGTGTAGAAATCACTTAGAAATGAGCAAGAGAGCACGGCAGCATGCTGCAGATGATATGCATCTCATTCTCACTAAAATATATGCAGTGCTTCACACCATTCAGATCGAGTGCCAAGATCCAACCATCTATTCACAGACCCAGTGAGAGATTCTGAAGATTTTTGTTTAGTGGGTAACATACGGAGTACAGTTCTGTGTGAGTAGCGGCTTCATGGGGACGTAGAGAGAGTGTAATTGGTGGAGGTAATGCTTGAGCAGTTTTTCTAGATGCAGGTAAGGGCCAATTGTTCATAATTGGAGAGTGGGAGAAACGTTTTGAATATGAAATTGAAATAAAACTTCAAAAAGACCATTGAACTCAATGGCCTAGAGTGTAGATTCTGCCATAACGTGTTGAAGGGTCTAGAAAAGCGTAACGGTGCCTGGAGTGTGCTCTCCGGGTGCCTTTAACAGATGTCTCAGAATGTGAAATATGAGCACTTGCTGAAACCAGCTTGCATTTAAGAGGCTAACTGTGACTGTTCAGATATCACACACACAAGGCTCAAGGAGAATTTCGAGTGGTACGCTCATGGGCATCACAAAACATATACAACAAGCTTACTAAGTACTTATTGTGTCGACTATAGTATTCTTATTTATATAGAGAAATTCACAGTTGATATGTGGTGTATAGATAATGTATATTGCCACTATAGCCAAAATCATGAATGGCTTATGGAATAGGCAATATGGATCTAACATTGATACGAACAACACAACAAATCTTCGAGACTAGGAGAAAATACAACTCTTATTTTAAAGGCAAAATACAGCTGTAGTTAACGTTAGAATTACATGTCTCGGTTCATGACATTCCGACTGGACTCAAAAAGTGGCACAAAAACACAAATGTGGGTCGACTCTTGCATGGTTACAAATTTATATTTCTTCGTGGAGAGAGAGAGATCCAGACTTAGTGTCCGAAATAATCGCTTGTTTTCCGTCCACTGATGTGGGTGCAGAGATAGATCAGTGTAAGTTTATGTTATTTCTTGTGCCTGGATGATAAAAGAAGAACTTCATTCGACAATCCAGTAGGCTGCGCAGTAGATGGTGCTGAGAGGATAGTGAGAGGTTGGTGAAAAAGTTGATGGAAACAAGGGGATGGCGAGCAGACTAGACCTTCAGTATCTAGATCAGTATGATGTACTGTAGTAAGAAATAGAAATCCCACGGGGGAAAAATTAGAATATGTATCCAGTTGAAGCACAACGCAGAGTGAATACACAGCAGACTAAATTACGTGAGGAGAGGGAAAAGCACAACGATAGGTATCAGGTAGACTGACAGCAAACAATTCAGCAGACAAAAAAATGAGAAAAAGTAATATAATAGATAAAGAGGAGAGAGGAGGAGAGAGAGAGCACGAGAGAGGAGAGACGAGAGGAGAGATAGAGAGAGGACGCACGGAGAGGCAAGACAAGGGAGAGATTTGGGAAGGATGAATGTTTCGGATTGTGTGATGTGTGAATAAATGTTAATTATGGACATAATTCCTTGGTGAAAAAAGTGTAACACTAGGGGATTAATGTGAAAAGAATAGCGAGAGGGGCGGCGAAGAGAAGACTTACTAATTGAAATTCGTGTGTACAAATGGCATGTAGCACACATGAAAGTGTGTTTTAATGTAAAAGTAATTGAGAGGATGGTGTTTGTCGTTTTGTTGTGTGTGCTTGTGTCTGTGGGTATGTGTATACATGTAGGAAAAAGAGAATGGGTGAGGGCAACATGATAGGTGACTAGTGGTGTGTACACAACGACAAGTCTTATGAGATGTAAGCGTCAAAGGTAGTCAATAATAAAGATATTAGCAGGGACAAGTTAATATTACTTCTTACAGCATATAGGAAGAGACGTCAACACACTACCTGGTGGAAACAAACTTTCCTGGACCACTAAACAGCAGGAGTTGAACATGGGAATACAAACCATCGGCGTGATTAACCATTGAGGTTGAGACAAAGGTGGGAAAGGGAAGTAGAGGGAAATATTAGAATCACAATACACCAAACCTGCTCCTAATTGTCAGGCTTGGCAAACTAACAACAATAATTGTTAGTTGCAGCCCTGACAATAAGCCATTTGGTGATTTATCTAATATTTTCCCTCTACTTCCTCCCACCTTGTCTCACCTCAGATCACCCAGTTGGATCCAGGGTCAACTCTGCTGGAGGCCAAGTTGTTTCCACAGGAGACGCTCTTCCTAGAGGCTAAAGAATAGGAACTGGCCCTCTAATAGCTGAGAGGACCGACTGACTGACTGATGAACTGGCTGGACACACACTAGTCACCGAGCATGGGCCCTCACCAGTCTGGGCCTACAGTATACACATACACAGACACACACACACAAACACAAAACCATCCTCGCAGACGTACATGAACACACTGGCATGCACATCCAGTGACACACAAGTGCAAGTAAGCTTCTCTGCCCTCGGCCTAGTCGTGGCACATGAATGCCTAGTGTACACGTGTTGCACAGAGGAGCAAAGACAGTATCACAAGCACACAGCCAAACATTCACCTCCCCCAAATCTCTCTCTCTCTCTCT